TCTTTACTCAGCTGAGACGGAATAGGTTCCTGACTATTTTGCAAATATTTTATTTTTTTTTGTTGAAAAGGCCAAGGTCTAAAAATAAGTGGCCTAAAACCGGTGAGAAAACTAGATTTGGGAGTACCCTAGGTTGATCTACATTATGGTTCAGCCCCCCCCCCCCCCACCCACCCAGTCTGGAAGAAGTTCCCGCGCCACTGGTTCACATTAGAGTCCTCACCGCGCCCGGTCGACCGCCGCGCCGGCGCGGCGGCTGGCCGGTGGCGTACGCCGGCAATACTTGACCATTGCGGTGGAAGGCGAAACTTTGAAGTCCGGGGGAAGCCCCGGTCGACCGGGCGCTATACGGGCCGGGTTTCAGTTCTGCTAATCTCTTCCTGACCAGGCCTGCATTCGTCATCGGGAAAATCAGGGAGAATTTTCCGGAACTAGCGAAAATCATCGGGGATCACGAACGGTATCGCGATAACGAGACATGCTGAAGATAGGCGCTCAACAACCATTTTCCGACGGAGAATATCCGAGTGACAATATTTTTCCGGATGCCGAATGCACCTCAGGATTTCATGATGCTATGTAATGTCATGAAACGGTCGTGCTTCAACAAACTCAACATTGTCCAGCTGTAACTTTATGCAGACCAGATTGTTTTCAAAATGCCTAGACCGTTTGCAAACGGCCTGGTGTCTGGAAAGTTGTCATACGGCCTAGACGGTTTGCAAACGGCCTGAAATTTCAGGCGGTTTGCATACAGCCTGGAATTTCAGCCCGTATTCAAACGGCCTGACTTTTCAGTCCGTTTGCATACTGACTGGGCTGTCCAGGCCGTTTGCAAACGGCCTGAATCGGGCCAGGCCGTTTGCAAACGGCCTGAGTTTTCATACGGCCTGTAACATATATAATATATAAATATGCGTTTATGCTCCCTTACAATCTAATTCCATTGGCTTTGTTGATCAGCATTTTCTGTTAGCGTTCACTCACACACCAGTCAGAACATAAAAGCGCCAGTTTAATACCAGTAAAACGCCTTTTGGGCGAAGAACGAGCGAGCGAGCTAGTGAGCCCTGCACGTGCGGAAGGGCGAGAGGGTACTTCCAACGGGCTTGCGCAAAGCACCCTTCTAACCGGTCGCTAGCGGTGTACCAAATTTGAACGCAATCGGCCCAGCCGTTCCTGAGATCTGGAAGCGGCATGCTGCACGTGCGCACGTGCAAACGGGGTCCAAACTGACTTTTGCACGGCACCCTACTAACTGGTCCCCAACCGTGTACCAAATTTGAGCGCAATCAGCCCAGCCGTTCTCGAGATCTGGAAGCGCCCCCTGCACGTGCGCACGTGCAGTAGCACCTTAACCGAAACACATGGGAATGCATTGTCTGGTGGGTGCCTACCTGTATGCCAAGTTTCAGCGAAATCGCCCCAGTAATTACCGAGTTATTAAAATGGGAACAAATTTGACACCTCCTATTGTTGTATTTTGCACGTGCACTGGGGGTGACCCACATGCATCAAGAGTATCCTATATTTGGTAGAAGGGATGCTGCTATCCTACAAAAATTACCGCAAGCCAATCGCCCAAGCGGCTGCTGAGATATGAGCCTCTCAAAATCACTACTTTTGCAAAACAGCTTGAACACCCTTGACTTTTCACGTGGCACGTGCCACGACGGTCACTGCGATGTACCAAAAGTAGTCAATTACGGGGTAGAAGGGATGGGGCTACCCAACAAAAAAGACCGCAGGCCAATCGGTCCAGCGGTTGCTGAGATATAAGCCTCTCAAAAGCGTTACAGGCCGGGCCGGGCCGGGCCGGGCCGGGCCGGGCCGCTCATACTGAGATTTTTCCGTTATATTGAAAAGACTCACTTCGCTCGCTGCGCTCGCTCGCTCGTAATTATGTAATTGGACTTGTCGAAATCCAGAAATACATCTAATAGTTATTTAAGATAATATTTTATGAAGCCTTTACCTGCCTTTACCTAGGCGTTATTTTTTTTTTTTACCTGAAAGAATTATTGAACGCTTGATTATATATGTTGTTGTTGATTATATATATGTATTGAATTATATATGTATTGTATTATATTGATTATATATGTATTGAACGCTTGTGTTTAATAGAGCTGTAAGGTGCTCTCCTAATGACCAGTGAGATTGATTTGAAAGGGATGTGACAATGCAACATGGTGCATTTTCTGAAGCTGTCAAGCTAATGATGATGAAGGAACAATTGGTACCCATATGCCATAATTAGTATTCTGTACCTGAGTGCAAACTCCCCTACGGCAAATGATTAAACCATTACAGGTTTTAAAAGGCTCCACCACTTTCAATGATGTTGTTGGGCATCCTTTGCATGATTTTTACAGGCTAGACTGCTAATCAGAATGCAATATTAAGGATTTAAAATTTTATATTTGAGTACCTACTTAAGATTGAGCTTGAAATCTCACAGCCGTGGCCACAGCCGTAGCCGTGGAGATATTTGCAGCCGCCCCGGCCCACAACCATGGGGCTGCAGCCAGCCGCGGCTGCAGCCGGCCGGTGCAGACCTCTAGTAGCAAGCAGGGGTGCGGAGCCGGAGCCGCCGGAGCCGGCACATTTGCCCGGAGCAGGAGCCGGAGCCGTGAAACAATATAGCCCGGAGCCGGAGCCGAAGCCGAAGAATTTAATAGTAACTATTAAATTCCGGCTAAAAACAGTGCATGCTTTATAAAAGAATCATTCCAATGACGGTCCATTCTTACGGTCCTGAAATCACCACTATTTCCGGCCTCTCCTACGCAACTCATGTCCAGACGTAAATATGCTGTAAAACGTCAAAATTCAAGCATAAGTAGCTGCTCTATCATTTTCAGTTTACTGTACAAGAAAGTAAAATGAATGCCAGCGTTGAGAGCGTGCAGAAATGTGTCGCCAATGTCGAGTTACAGCCCTTCCTAAAAAAACGGCCAAATTACCCCATTATCCCCTACCGTATTTATGTCTCTGTGCTAGGGCTGAGCCACTCAGCGACTGGGCTGGGAAACTTGCCTCGTTTCCTCCGCTACTCCCAACCCGAGTCAGCGTGTCAGTTCTAGACTACGGTCGCTTTCGCGACAACCCGCTCCGCTGGGCGCATGAAACACAAAGACCTGGAACGGGGCCTCGCCGCGCCACTGCACTGGCGCTCCCAACTTTCCCTGTGTTGCGTCAATGCTTGGCGCTGGCGTATGGCGGAGACCGGCCACCGGACCGCGACGCGCCCCGCCGCCTCGCCTACGTGTGCGTCCATTTGTCGCCAAACTGCCACAGTTGCGACATCGGCACACAGCATGCAATCCTTCGGTCGCCATACCTCAGTGCAAGGCCCTAAACCATAAGGTTGGACGAAGTTTTCTACCAAAAATGTACTAGAATTGCTCATGAGTCCAAGCTTTTTCCCTTGTTTCTTTACAAATATAGCGTAAACAAACCGCTTCTCTGATTAATGTTTTGAAGTTAAACAACCAATTGCTTTAAATTCAATAAATTAAAACATTCTATGAGAAAACACTTTTAAATGGCCTCCTTACAATGAAATACCAAAAGATGAAATAATGAAATAATTATTGATGATTTCGACCACAGGTCATTATCAAAATAAGCCAGACAGAACTTTTGTCAGACACAACGGGAAGCTCACAATATCGGCAGAAAAATTCACATTTTCAAACATTTCACGTGAACACATTGCATATAGAGCTCACCTAAAATGCTGCTACAACTAACGAATGAAGTATATGTACAAGTAAATTAAAACATTTTTCAAGTAACAGCCTAGCTAATTTTAGTCTAACTCTAATAAAAAAATCAGGTAGCTACACCAAATTTTTCAGGTGCGACATATATTGCGCACTCAAGACAAATACGTATAGAGTAACTAAAGGCGCTACTAAGGACTTTTTCGCATGTTTTGCTGCTTGGGTCTTGGCTTGGGTTTTGTTGGGATTGCTTTTGTTATGAAGTAAAGAATGTTAAGGAAGGTTAGCAGTCTCTATCGTTTTTTTTGTGTGTGTATTTCCAGGACTGTCTCAATTATATATTTTTGACACACATTTGGGGCGTTCCACGACAAATCGACAAGTGCCCTACACCCTCATATTTTATTTTTTGCTTATAATTGGTCTAATAGGTTGTGATGGGCGGGGAAGCCAGCTGTGGCAAGGATTTTTTTCTTCGAACAACGGTTTCCGAGATATAGCCTAGGGCAATTCCTGGAGGTCACGCTGCAACCCTATGTTTGGCGGCTTATAACTAAGAAACTATTAGTTTTCTATGATAAAAACTTTATATGGTTCAACTCGCAATCAACCATCAAACATTGAAGCTATCTCGGATTTCAATTTTTAAAAATTTTGATCACGCGACCTCTTGACCTATTTTTAAGAGTGACTTTGATATTTTCCCCACTGAAAGCTGTAATTTTGTCTGATGGCGATTAAAGCCTTATCAATTGTAATTCATATGCGATAATAAAAAAGTGGTTATCGGCCTGCGTTGACCTCGGGTCAGGTCATTTTTGTGACCTGCCTTTTATAAGTCAATGGCAGAAATATTGGCTACCACCGAAACGCATCTGACCGGTTCAAATACTTATGAATTATATTGAGTTAGGCTGTTATTGATGGCACTGCTGCAGTTTTGCATCAGTGACCTGCTGAAAGGTCATTCGAGGTCACCCGTTGAACACACGACAATAATTTTCCTTTTTTTTGCTGTACCTTTTGATCTAATAAAGAAAGAGACGTGGAACAGGCACCATTGTGTTTGCTTTGGACCAGCGCAAATTCGCTTTGAATTTCGATATTGATGACCTAAGGTCAGGTCAAATTCTTGACCACCCCATTATAAGTCAATTGGGGAAAAATCAGCTCCCTTATTTTTAAACTAAAACGCGTCAGAATTGCCTAATAGACCATGAGTGACTTCATGTACGATCAACTTTGACTACCTTCAGTTGACCGGTCACTCCCGGCGCGGACGGACGCGGCGGGCAGCGCTCCGCTCTGACGCACGCGCCCGAGCGCCGACAGCCACAGTGCAGTGACGGTAACTGGTGTTTATTGTGTGTGAGGCGAGGGCCACGATGGCCGATCCGAGTCGCGACTCTGGTGGTGTCGAAGCTGCAGCTGCCAGGTCGCTCCGGAGAGGATCGTCCGTCAGTGAGTTGGTCCGGAGCTACGACGACGGAGCGGGGAAGAGAGACCGCTCCGAGTCTGGTGACTCTGTCACCGCGCCGATGGGTAAGCGCAGGCCGCTCGACCCCTCGCCTCGCAAGGGAGAGGTGAAGGAACTCATCGAGGATGCAGTGGAAGGAATCGAGAGTCGCCTGTCCCTGTTCATTTCCAAAGAACTACACGAATTCAAAGCCAGTCTCCAGACAAAATTTGATGCTCTCCACGCGCGAATCAAGGACCTAGAAGAGCACGTGAACGAAAAGGATCTGGAGATAGAGAGGATGTCTACGGAACTGAAAGAAACGCGTGAAGAAATGAAGAAGCTTAGCGAGAGGAGTGAGAACGCTGAAATGAACTCGCGAATCCCGTGCCTGATTTTGTCCGGCCGAGCAATGGCGCCCCACCGCAACCCGAGCCTGGCTGCGCCGCTGCGGCCGGCCGCCGGGCGGGCGCCCGGGGGCACGGACTCCGCCGGCCCCAGCGAGGAGCGCGCGGCCGGCGGTGCTGCGCTGGGCGGTGGCGGCGGCGGTGGTGCCGGGGGTGTCGGTGGTGCGAGGTCTGGGGAGGGAACGAGTGAGGAGGATGTCAACCAGCTGGTCATCAGAGTTCTGCAAAGCCGGTTCCCGGGCTTGGGCATCTCTGTAAGCGACATCGACAGGGCTCACCGCCTCCCAGGACCAAATCATCGTGTAATCGTCCGATTCGTCCACTCCGGTTCCGGATCGATAAGAGAGCGACTCATGACGAGAAGGATGGAGCTGCGAGGGAGCAACGACCTGTACATCAACGAAAGTCTAACCGCCCTGAAGAGCCAGATTCAGCGGTCTCTGCTGGAGGCTAAGAAAGCGAAAAAAATCTACACTGTTTTTACCAGGTGGGGACACGTGTACTACAAATCAGAAAAATTTGGAACAAGTACTCGGGTGGAATCACTTGCTAAGGCTCGTCAGCTAGGGTTCAGCGTCAAAGAATAAGCGTACTCATATATATGTGTCAAGGTTGCTCGTTCACGCTTGACGCACTTATACAGCCTTGCGAAGTTCGCTTACCAGCACGTGTTCACTATCTGCTAGTCGCTTACTTACTCGACGATAAAGGATCGTTGTTGATTTTGATGTTTGATGTGTGTGCATGTCTACTCGTCAATTGTGTTCTCGTTCTCGTTCTGCGTTGTCCCATGTCTGCCTTGCAGACGACGATCTCGGCTGGTGCATCGGCTGTGAGTGTCTGCGGCGGCGGCGGCGGCGGCGGCGGGGTCGGACTCTTCTACACGTGCAGTGGGAGCCGAGGAGCTCGATGTGTGATCGGCGCCGCCTCTGGTGTGCTTCGGCCGCGGTCTCCGTCGGTGCCGGCGCCCGTCGCTGGCGGCGCCTGTGGCGGTCTGTGCCGGTCGTGCACGTTGCGGCGGCCGTCGGTCCCGCGGTCCACCCGCTGGTGTGGGTGGCCATGCTGCCGCGCCCCGCGTCTCCGGATGCCAACTGGCGCCCGCCGAGGGGGCCGTTCTGTCGCGAATCGTCCGGTCCCGGCCCGAGTTGCAGATGCAGTGTGGCACCCTTTTCGTGAGTATGGTCACTGGACGGATCGGCCGTACCGTAACGCACCAGGAGAAAGCTATGTCCAATGTAGTACTATATTGTCTCAGCAACACATACAACAAAGTAGTGCAAAAAGGAAAATGAAGTTTTGGTTTGGAGCAAAGTTCAGCACCGCGTCTAAGGTCGAGAGACAAACACTAACATTTTATGAGAAACATTAAAATTGCATCAGTAAATGTCCGGGGTCTGGGAGGCCAAGAGAAACGCAGAGATGTTATGCATTACCTGAGAACTATGAACTTTGACATTATCTTCCTTCAGGATACTCACCTCACAGAAAATAAAGTTCAGTTTCTAAACTCGCTGTGGCGGGGTAAGACATACCATTCTTGCTTCACAAACAACAGTAGAGGAACCTCAATTTTGATCGACAAAGGTCTTCAACATACCATGCTCTTTGAATTCGTTTGCAGGAGAGGTAATTATGTTATTATTGGATGTAAAATAGGGTCAGACACATATGTGTTTGGGTGCATATACGGTCCAAACAAAGACGAGCCAGAATTTTATCGGGAAATAGGCGAAAAACTGGAAAGTGTCGAATGCGATCACATCATTTTGGGTGGAGACTTAAATTTTGTGATGAATTATCAAAAAGACTGTCATGGATATGTTCGAGAAAATAATATTAATGCCAGAAACGCATTCACCGCGATGTGTAATCAGCATAGAATCATTGATATCTGGAGATTTTATAACCCAGATAAGCACGAATTCACGTGGAAGGGACCCAACAAGGTAGCTAGATTAGACATGTTCTTTATAAGCGAACATTTATGTAGCTTGTGCATCAACCAAAACATTTTGCCGGGATATAGGACAGACCACAATATTATTACAATAGAAATCAAAAGCAGCGATGCTTCCCGAGGCCCAGGGCTATGGAAATTCAATGAGTTCCTATTGAGCAATGAAGATTACTTGGTAGGGGTGCGGAAATGTATTGAGTCCACTGTCAAACAATATGCGTTACCGATATATTCGAATGAGTTTCTAACTGATGAGTACAACTACAAAGATATTAAGTTTCAAATAAACGAGGACCTATTTTACGAAACGCTACTCATGATGATACGCGGGGAAACTGTTAAATTTGCTAAACAAAAAGCTAAGCGGGATAAAGAAAAAGAAAGAGAACTGTTAATGAAAATCGAAAGAGCTCAAACAGAATATTTTGAAGCAAAAACTGAAAGTAGTGCGGCCGTCCTGGAACAGTATAAAGAACAATTGGAAAACATGAGAAGGCCTCTGATAAACGGTCTGATCGTGCGCTCGAGGACAAGGTGGCACGAGGAGGGTGAGCGCTCGTCAAAGTACTTTCTCGGCTTGGAGAAAAGAAATGCCTTGAGAAAATCAGTTGGAATCATTAAAACTGGAGAGCAAATTTTAACAACAACTAGCTCTATTCTGGAAACATTTACAGACAGCCTAGCGAGTAAATATACTAGACAACACAATTTACCGTCAAATACGGACGAATTTATCAGAAGAAACGTTACAGAAACACTAAGCGATCCAGAGCGCGACGCTCTCGACTTGCCGTTATCATACGAGGAGTTAACTAATGCAATGCGAAAGATGAAAAGCGGGAAGTCTCCGGGCCCGAACGGGTACACATCATCATTCTTTAAACACTTTTGGAACATTTTAGGGCATTTCCTTCATAGAGCATATGTTTTCTGTTCAGGAAAAAATAAAGTAATTTCTTCGCATAGAGAAGGAGTCATTACTATGATTCCGAAAGCAGGTCAGTCTCCGGACCAGGTCAAAGCATGGCGTCCGATCACCCTCCTTAACACTGATTTTAAAATCATATCATCCGCCATTGCAGCACGGCTGCAACGGGTAATAGACAAATTGACTGACCCCTGTCAAACAGCGTATGTCAAGGGACGATACATCGGGGAAAATACCAGGCTTGTTTATGACGTAATACAAAAACTGTCAGAAGATCGAAAGACAGGTGTTATAATTTCCGCAGATTTTGAAGCTGCATTCGATTCCTTATCTTGGGACTTCGTTTCCAAAGTTTTAAAGTATAGTAAGTTTGGAGCAAATTTCAGAGCCATGTTAACGAACATATATATGAGTGACGAAAATTTCTCAAGAATACTGTTAAACGGTTTCTTGGGAGAAAAGATATATCTGAAGTGCGGTATACGTCAAGGGGATCCGGTATCAGGATACCTATTCAATTTGGCTGTTAATGTTCTAGCAAATCAAATCAAACAATCTCGGATACTATCTGGTATCCAGCTCTCTCCTGATAGCGAAGTAAAAATCATGCAATATGCGGACGACACGGTATTATTTCTTGACGGTGAGGCAAGTTCAATACGAGGAGCACTATCAGAATTAGAAACATTTTCAAATTTCTCTGGCCTAAAACTCAACATAGAAAAAACAGCATGTCTTCCTCTCGGGGTAGACCCTCGGCGATACGAGTCTGAGAACTTCGGCTGTAAATGGGTTAGTCAAATAAAGATTTTAGGAATAACTTTCTCTAACAACAATAAGGGAATAACTGAAACGAACTTGGAACCAAAAATCGCTCAGATTAACAAAGAAATAGCGCAATGGCGGAGGCGAAATCTTACTCAACTGGGAAAAATAACTGTGATTAAGTCTTTATTGTTGTCGAAGCTAGTTCACTTATTAACTGTTCTGCCTAATCCTTCACAATTCATACTCAAAAAGCTAGAACGCATTTTCTTTTCTTTTGTGTGGAATGGGGGAAGGGATCCTATAAAAAGAGCCAAAACGATACAAAGTTACGCTGCAGGTGGATTGCAAATGATCGATATTAAAGCTTTCGTCCAAAGCCTTAAATTGACATGGCTTAAGAGGTTAAGGGAATCTAAAGCTTCGTGGGTAAGACTAGCTGAGAATGAAGTACCATGTGTTGAAAGCATTCCTCAATTTGGAAGCAAAAAGTTATTAAGGATCCGCTCCAAAATAAATAATCCATTCTGGCAGGATGTTTTGGAAGCGTACAGCCGCTTTAGCATAGACTATAGCCCAGACGATGTCGGTATACTAAATGAGAGCCTATGGTTCTCGGACTATTCGAAATATAGCTGTTCTATCGTGAAAAATTGGAACGAAAAAGGACTTAGGTTCATAGCAGATTTGATTGACGAACAAACTGGGCGGATAATGACGAGGGAAGCGGTGCAAGATAGGTTTGGAATAAGAATGACCATTCTGTGCTATTCAAGCCTCGTGAGAAGTTTACCTGAATGTGTGAGACGTCGATCTTTCGACGACATACCGAAACCAATAATACCAACGAGATTAAATCTCGTTTTGAATCATGCGAAGTTCTCACGCTATGCATATCAGATGGCAATACAATCAAAGAAAGCCGAAACAAAGAATGCGGATGAGCGTCTAAGACAGAAATGGATGACAGATATTGGACACTTTGTAGAGGATAGCACAGTGGCTGTAATGAACGCCACACATTCAACACGACTCATTATGCTACATTACCGAATAGTTAACAGATTTCTCACTACAAACAAATTTCTGAATATCATCAATGTGAAAGACGATGATAAATGTACGTTTTGTCACAGACACGCAGAAACTTTAGCGCACATGTTTTGGTCCTGTACCGAAGTTCAGAGTTTCATTACCGACATAAAAGTATTCTTACAATCTACACACCAATTTACACTTCAAATAACTCCAAAAACAATATTTTTCGTACAAAACCTAAACCCAATTGAAGTACTCATTTTAACCTTGATGAAACAAGTAATATGCGAAGCACGATCGAAGGAAGCTATTCCAAACGTAGTACATTTTAAATATAAATTAAAGCGCGAAGCTGAAACTGAAATAATAACAGCTAGACACGTCAACAAAATAAGGGTGTTTGAATCGAAATGGGGGGCATTGAAAAACATTTTACAACACGAGTAGTCAGCTCGTGTAGTCACAAGCTTACCATCCATTGCCAAGTTGTGCGTAAGGAGATGCGCAGCGCACGCAGCTGCCGGCGGGCCGGGGCCGGACGAGACGCGCCGCCAATTGCCCGATTTGTAGGTACAATGGCTCTTATCACGGTAATCAGTGCTCTGGCTGGCGGGGCGTGGCCCGTTGGCGACCCTGTCGGCGCGGGCGGGGACCGGCGGACCGGCGAGCTCGCGCGGTGGCGTGCGCGGGCGGTGCGGGCCTCTGCTGGCGCTGCCGGTGGCGGGGGCTGGTTCCGGCGGGGGGCGTGGCCGGCGGGCGACGTGGTGAGCGCCGTTTCCGCGCGTCGGGCTCCTCGGTCTTCGGTGTCTTACTTACCCTATACATAGGATACTCTGTCGCTGCTGCCGTCGCGCCGCTGCCGCTGCCGCTGCTCGCTGTCGCCGTGGGCGCCGTTGTGACCGGCCTCACCGGTTTGAGCATCATTAAGTGCGCTTGCGTACGTGCTGCTGCTGCTGTTGGTTTGTGTGTCTGTTAATAAAAAAAATCAGCCACCGCTCCCAAGACCCATCCGGGCCAACCCGGGACCGGCCTCTTCGACTGGGGCCGGTCGGCCGGCCGGGCGTGCGGGGCGCCGGCCCTACAAGTCGACGGCTCGCACGCCCGGCCGGTGGATAGGGGGCGCCGCCCGCGATACCCCTTCGCCGGGCGGCGCGGGCGGTGGCTGATGGCCCGCCGCGTTTCTTTAGTCCATGAAAAGACACCGGGGCGGCTTGACCAGGCGGGCCACACCACGTCGCGTGTGGTGGCGAGCTCTATTTTTATAGCTCGGCCGCCGCCTATAGTTAAAATGCAGTTGAAATGTGGCGTCCGATTTGTGTATATTGCCAACACTGTATGCCAGCGTGTACGCTTGCCAAATATTACTCGCACGTTGTGGGGGTTTTGAAAGCCCTATTGTGTCGGTGCATATCAGGCGTTTGCGGGTTTAAACGTCTCACCCTGGGGCGCTCGTTAGCATAAACGGGAAACCGGCTGTTTCGTGTCAGAAGCCACGACAGCGACTGTCCTTGTTGGGCTTGAGAGCCCTCGATTATTATACACCTGTGTCATATTTGTATGGATTGTCAATAAATGTTGGAAAAAAAAAACTTTGACTACCTTGAGACTTTTTTTTTTACTCTTGGGCAACTGTAAGGTCATGTGAGGTCATTACATGTCACAAGGTTTTTTGCTAATAACCCCTTACAGGTTTGAGATACAGCTGCGCAGATGAGCTCATTGTATTCAGCTCGTCAAGGCGCATCGAATGATATACATGATGACCTTAGGTCACGTGACCTTAGGTCAACCTTTGACCTTGACCTTTCGAGGTCAACATACATATGTTTCGATGCGGATCGACGAGGGGTTACGATGGTGCTATTAGTTTGTTTCTAGCTGGAATACTTTGAAAGTTATTCGAGAAAAACTTCCTATATATGTAGTGCCGCTATTTTGAGGCTTTCTTTTTACCCCTGTGACATCATCTTTGACATGACCTGAAAATGATCGCAGTAAAAGTTGTAGACCTTATCCGCGTGTACCCTGTACCGTTTACCGCTTGTCGCTATCTTGCTTTGTTCTCGAGATCTCGCTGTCGCTCCCGCTCGTAATAATTGACAGGTCATAAAAATGACCTGACCTGAGGTCAACGCAGGCCGATAACCACTTTTT